CTGGGAAAGAGCATTCCAGGCAAAAGTAATAGCAAGTTCAAAGCCTTGAGGTAGCACCAAGGCTGGCATGACTAAGGAGAGTAAAGAGCCAATAGAAATTTATGGGAATGAACAAAAGTATGGGGAGGATAAGAGATGAGGGTCTTACAAACCATTTATTAGACATTGACTCTTACTCTGAGTGAGATGGTAAGGAGAGGTATGATTTGATTGATGATATTTTCAGGAAACACTTTGGTTGCTGGGCTAAGAATACATAGGAAACAAGGGCAGGAAAAAAAGGAACACTTAGAAGGCTATTGAGACAAGAGGCTATGGTAGCTTGTACCAACATTTTAGCAAAGGAGGAGGTAATAAGTTACCCATATTCTGGATATATTTTGAATATAGAGATGAAAATATTTAGCTGAGAGATTAGGTGTTGGATGTGAGAGAAAAAGAAGAATGGAGGGCCCTAAGGTTGCTGACCTAGATAACTGGGAAAATGGAGTTGCCATTTAAAGAGACAGAGCATACTGAAGGAGAATCAAATTCAGGAGTGCAGAGAACAGGAGTTTGTATTGGGACATATTATGCTTATTATAATTATTACACAACTAGTTGTTGGTGCTGAGTGATGAAACATCTAGGTGAGACATAAATTTGATTGTCACAGGAATGAAGATTGTTTTAAAGTCAATGCTCTGAGTGAAATCACCAAGGTTTGCAAGTGAGGGGCAAAGAGAACAGGTCTTAGCACATTAGCATTCAGAAATTGGAGGAAAAAAGAAGGGAAAGCAAAGTAAAAAAATTTTAAAAGGTGATTAGTGATGAGGTATGAGGACAAGTGTAAGCACAGACTGAGTCTTTGAAGTCAGGGGAATGAAATATATCGTGGAGGACATAGAAATCAACTCTGTCTTAAAATGTTAATAGGTCAGTAAAAGGTCATTTGATGTAACACTGTATATGTGATTGATGAACTTTACAATAACAATTTCAATGGAGTTCTGAGAGGGTGAGTTGGTTCAGGAGAAAATAATCAGAGGAACAGGGGTCAGCAAAAAAATTTTTAAAGAAATTTTGCTATAGAGAGCATCAGAGAAATGAGAGTCACTAGAATTAAGTATATGGGGTCAAGAAAAACTTTTGTTTTAATAGGGAGAAATAACATCAGTATATATGCTGATATAAATGATTCATTTGAAGGCATTATTAACAAGCCAGCTAGTAAAAAAAAATCCCTGATATGTCCTACTAAAACAGTCTATTTCTTTTCTAATAGTATCCTGGGCCACTAAACCATCAATTGCTAATAAAAAAGAAAACTTGGAACATGTTTTTACAATACTAAATTAAAAGCATAAATAACCTACTGCTATACCTTGCCATTTTTCAGTGTGTCTAAAACTCTCATTACCCTTGATGACCATTTTGTACAAAAAAAAAAAGCCCCACTGTTTCGTCATTGTGAGCAGCTTGCCTGATGAGAACACTTCAAACAAATTCTTCCCAAATATTTGATAAAAGTCATAAAGGCAGAGTTCTGATAGAAGACTCGACTCAAAGATTACAGTTTCTGGGAAGAGGAACAGTTGCTTTTAGGAGCTAGATGTTACTGAGGAAATGTAGGACTAGGGGCATGGATTACCATCAGTGAATGAGAATCAGTCCTGGGAAACAGTATAATTATGTGATAAACTTTTAAAATACTGATACACTGGATTCATCCTTAGAAACTCTGAGGTTTACTTGCTTGTGGATAGCACCCAGGTATTTGAATTTTTAACAGTTCTCTAGAAGACTCTAATGAAGAGTTTTTAAGAACCATTATTCTTGGTACATAATTTTGATCATCATCTTTCATATAATATTTCAAGTTCTCAGAGTTTAGTTGCAAGGAATCAAGGAACAATGAGATCACCTGCTAATCTACTCAGGAAGCACTATGATATAGTTGAGTCTCTAGCTCAAGAATGATGTTTATCTTAGTAGAAGTCTTATGAATCCACCTTAAACTAATGTGTTATTACATGAAGTGCTCTGAACAACTCTGCTCCTTACCTCTCTCCAGTTCTCAAAACCTATCTTAAAGGTATGAACCAAGATCTAAGTCATGAACTTAGATTATCTAAGAATTTTATATCTAAACTTCCAGTCAAGATGGAGGCATAGGCAGACATGCTTTTCTCTCTCACACACACACAAGAAGAATCACAACTAACCTAAAAAAAAAAAAAAAAAAAAACAGCCAGAACTGCCAGAAAATCAAATTGTATGGGAGTCCAAAAACCAAGGATTTAAAGACCCATCCAGACAGGTAGAAGGGGCTGAGAAGGGGAGTCAGGGTGAAGAAGAAGCAGTGTGGTGCATAGAGACAGCAGCAGAGGCAATGGAATGGGTGGTCTCACATTTATGTGTAGTGGATAAAAATCAGGAGGGATACACTGGGAGTGATTGATCAAGTCCCAGGCCAGACCATGCAGCACAAGTTTCTAGCACTGGAAAGAGAAAACCTCATATCTTCTGGCTGTAAAAACCAGGGGCAGTTGGGGTCTTGGAAGAAACTGCCAGTTTCTCAGGAGAGTCCATTTAAAGAATCCACCAAGACTTAGAATATATGCAAATCCACCCACTCCAGGAATCACTATCAGGGAAATAGGTAGAAGGGCACTGGTCGCATATGGGAAGTGGGTGAAATGGGGCTTGCAGAAGCCAGGCAGCAACATTGTTTCCTCTCCAACCCCTCTCCCCCACACAGTGCCACAAAGTGATGAGGTAGTTTGTCCCACTGTGGTGAACACTTAAGACTCTGCCCCATACAACTTGACAGATGTGCTAAGACAGGGAATCAAAGCAGCTCTACCTAACACACAGAAATAAACACAGGGAGGCTGCCAAATTGAGGAGATGAAGAAATATGGCCCAAATGAAAGAACAGAACAAAACCCCAGAAAGAGAATAAAATGAAACAGAGATAGCCAAATGATCAGATGAAGAGTTCAAAACACTGGTGATCAGGATGCTCAGAGAACTCATTGAATATGGCAAAAACATAAGAGAAGAAAGAAAGGCTACATTAAGTGAATAAAGAAAAATCCACAGGGAACCAACAGTGAAGTTCAAATCAATGATTTGGAACATAAGGAAGAAATAAACAGTCAACCAACACAAACTTAAGAAAGCAATAATTTTAAAAAAATGAGGAGAGAGTAAGAAGACTCTGGGACATCTCCAAATGTGCCAACATCCAAATCATAGGATGCCAGAGGGTGAAGAGAAAAGTAAGAAATTAAAAACTTCTTTGAAAAATAATGAAAGAAAACTTCCTTAATATAATGAAGGAAATAGACATACAAGTCTAGTAAGCATGGACCCCAAGAGGACCACAACAAGACACATCAAAATTAAAATGCCAGAGGTTAAAGATAAACAGAGAATCTTAAAAGCAGCAAGAGAAAAGCAGAGAGTTACCTACAAAGGGATTCCAATTAGACAATCAGCTGATTTCTCAAGAGAAACTTTGTAGGCAAGAAGGGACTAGCAAAAAGTGTTCAAAGTCATGAAAAACAAGGACCTATAACCAAGATTATGCTATCCAGTAGAGATATCATTTAGAATGGAATGGCAGATAAAGTGCTTTCCAGACAAGGTAAAGTTAAAGGACTTCATTATCATCAAGCCATTATTAAATGAAATGTTAAAGGAAATTGTTTAAGAAAAAGAAGGAGATCAAAATTATGAATGTTAAAATGACAGCAAACACAACTATCAACCACTGAATCTAAAAAAACAAAAACAAATTAAGCAGTGAACCATAATAGGAACAGAATCATAGATATGGAGATCATTTGGAGGGTTATCAGTTGGGTGGGGGAAGGGGAAGACATAGAGGAATCAAGAAGTATAATTGGTAGGTACAGAATAGACCTACCTGGGGGAAGTTAGTTGAGTAGGGAGGAGGGGGAGGTTAAGAATAGTATAGGAAACAGAGAAACCCAAGAACTTATACGCATGACCCATGACTATGAGCTAAGGGGATATATTGCTGGAGAAAAGGAGGATACTGGGTGTAGGGAACAAAAGGGGGAAAATTGGGGCAACTGTAATAGCCTAATCAATAAAATATACTTTTAAAATAAAGAAAATAAAAACATTACACCTATCCATACTATTGATAGAAAGTAATTTTTATTTAGCTACCTGGTTGAGCAGAAGGAAAAGCACAAAGGTAAACTATCCATGGGATGCTGTGACCCCATGTTAAGTGGAATATTTAACTTCCTGATGTTATCTTTTTTTCCTATACTACCCTAACTTGTTCTTCACTTCTTATAGTCCCTTTGTTTTGTGCCCTTTTTGTATGTTTTTTAAATCTTTCTACATTTATTTCTATTCTTCTCTGCCTTTTTTTTCATTCTCTGCTATCTTCTTTGACTTTTCTTTATTATTTTGGGCAATATGGGGGATTGAGGGATGGAAGAGAAAATAGAGTCTAAAGATGCAAAATTTTGTAAGGTCCTTATAATCATTGAGGAAAGCATTTCATAAAAGGGGTGATGTTAAAAGGTATGCATCATATTTCAATACCAATAAAGTATAGGAAATAAGTTCCAATGCTATTAAATCATTTACTCAAGATGAACAGATTATAAAGTGGAAAATTACATATACCATATATTAATACACATTCCAAATGTACATTTTATTTATTCAACCAAGAATATTATTGCCTGACATTACTGCAAAAAGTTTGAATAATGCCACCAGCATCCTCATGGAAGAGTAATTTACAATGTATTAAGAGTCTAATCAATATAAGTAGGCTTTCAAATCCAGTACATACATAAACAAAATTCAAAAGAAATTATTGGAGAGTAAAGATTAAAAAAAATTCATTATCAAGTACAATCCTAGGTACATTTAATTTAGTACTTACTAAATATTGGTAAATGAATGAAATCTTTAATGATTCTTACAGAATTCAATTAAAAACATTTTTTTAATCCTTTTATTTTTGGAAGCAACACTTTGTGGAAGATGATCAAAACTGTCTGACACAATTATAGCTTTCTATGCTAGCAAAGTCTAGCATAGACTATTGCAGTGTTCTCTCTTCTGTGAAACAAACCATTACATAGACTCAATGTTTAGAAAATCTTTTTGTACTCTAGACATTTCCATATGTCTTTCTAGAAGAAGTCACACTTTTTCCAAAACCAGTGAGGCTTTGGGGAAAATATTCCATAAAACTATAGTATAACTGAATCCACTAAAATAACTTCATTAAACATGTTGATTGCATATCAGAGACCACAGATACTGCTGAAGTAGAATAAGTCCAAACATTGTGGCTCTGGAAGACAGGAAGGATTATATCATTGAGTTCCACAAAGGAAACTGTCTTTATGATTCTAATCAAAATATTTATTTTATCTTTTACCAATACTATTTGGAAGTTAAAGTGAAGTTGTGGAAAAAAACATAATCAGCTGTGAATTACAAAAAAATAGTCCTTTTTTTCCCTCTTACTATACCTTTGTCAGTATTTTAATGGTAAATATACTTTCAGAATTTTGGTTTGCTTATATAAAAATAGCAGGGATTTTGAAACCATTTGAATTTAAGCTTTAAATGATATGGTTTGTTACCCCCCCCCCACTTTATTGTAAAGTTACTTTAATGTCTAATACAATATACGTTAGATGTATAATAAAAAGGATTCTATAACAGATATACATCTTATACATATTCATTCATTTTTTCTGAATTACTATTTGTTTAAATATTTATACCCCTGAAATATTATGTTTCTTGAGAACAGAGCATACTGTAGTCAGAACTTTATCTCCAATAACAAGGACAATGACCATATATAAGAGACATTTGATAAATGTTTGTGTATCAGATATCTTAGTTGTTTGTCACAAAAAGACTACTGTTTTAGCTCTTTATCGTGACACCTCAAAGGCAGTCAGCTGCTTCAGGATGAAGCTGAACATCTGTTTCCCAGACACTGGTTGCCAGAAACTCATTGAAGTGGACAATGAATGCAAACTTTATACCTTTTATGAGAAGTATATGGACACAGAAGTTGTTAGTGATGTTCTGGGTAAAGAATGGGAGGCTTATGTGGTTTGAATCAGTGGTGGGAATGACAAACAAGGTTTCCTCGTGAAGCATGGGGAAGGTCTTGACTCATGGCCATGTCTGCCTGCTGCTGAGTACGGGGCATTCCTGTTATAGACCAATGCAGTTTGGAGAAAGCACAAATCCGTTTGGAGTTGTATTGTGGATGCCAATCTCAGTGTTCTCAACTTGGTCACTGTAAAAAAAATCGGGAGAAAAATATTCCTGGTCTCTCCGATACTACCAGGTCTTGTTGCCTGGGGTCTAAAAGAGCTAGCAGAATTTGAAAATGTCTTAATCTCTCTAAAGAAGATGATATCCACCAACATGTTGAGAGAAAGGCCCTAAACAAAGAAGGCAGGAAACCTAGGACTACAGCACCTAAGTAAGATTCAGTGTCTTGTTACTCCACGTGTCCTGCAGCACAAACATTGGTGTATTGCTCTGAAGAAACAACATATGAAGAAAAACAAGAAGAGGCTGCAGAACATGCTAAACTTTTGGCTAAGAGAAGGGTGGAGGCCAAAGAAAAACACCAGGAACAGATTGCCAAGAGACATAGGCTATCTTCTCTGAGACCTATCTCTACGTCTGACTCCAGTCAAAATGAGATTTTCTTGAAGGAATACATAAATAATAACACCAAAAAAGACTATATCATTTAAAATGTTTAGTAGATATGGGATAGAAAAAATCTCTATTCATTAATTATTCTCAGTAGTAATCCTAGAGCAGGGTCTCGGTCTATGGACCACAAGACTTATGAAGTCATAGAATGTTTCTGGTTATTTCATTTGACCTGAAGATTGTTTAAAAACTATAGCTAGGCACATGATATGCCTGTAGTGGTAGCAATGGGAGAAGTATAGCTCCTGTTGTTTTATTCCAGGATTGTTTCACACTCTATTTCACAACGTAAATCCTGAGTACATTTGAATTTATGAGCCTTACCTCCTGCAGTACAAAACTGTAGGATTGAAAGAGCCACAGTAATCTATCTGCCTCAGCCTAGATTCTAGAAAGTATCTTTGTGATTCTGCAAGAATTTGTGGCACATACAGATACCCTCTGTGTTCGCAGATTCTGCATTCACAGGCCCAACCATCCACAAAGTGAAAATATTCAGAAAAAAAAAACAGGTTAGACAAGATCGGGCGCATTCAGGGTGGTATGGCCACAGACAGCAAAAGAATGGATTTAGAATGGAAGGGCAGATAAAGTGCTTCTCAGATAAGATCAAATTCAAGGAGTTCATCATCACCAAGCCCTTATTATATGAAATGTTAAAGGGCCTTACCTAAGAAAAAGAAGATAAAAAAGATGAACAGTGAAAGGACAGCAAATTCACAGTTATTAAGAACCACACCTAAAACAAAAGCAAACTAAGAGGACAGCTAGATCAGGAGCAGAACCATTAGAAATGAAGATCACATGGAGGGTTAGCAACAGGGGAGTGGGAGAAGGAGAAGCGGGCAGAAGGTACAGAAAATAAGTAGCATAGATGGTAGGTAGAAAACAGATGGGGGGGCAAGAATAGTATGGGAAATATAGAATCTAAAGAACTTGAGACACGTGGTCATAAACTAAAGGGGGGATGGTGGGGGAGGGGGTGTGCAGGGTGCAGGGTAATGAAAGGGGGAATAGAACAACTGTAATGGAATAATTAATAAAATATATTAAAACAAAAGAAAAATAAATAAATAAAAACAGGTTACCTTGTTGCCATTGACTACAATGTAGTTAGGCCTATGATGGTTTAATCTATACTAAACATGTACAGGTTTTGTTTTCTTGTCATTATTCCCTAAACAGTACAGTATAAAAACTACTTACATAGCACTCATATTATATTATGTATTAAATATAAGTAATCTAGAGATGATTTAGAGCATGCAGTTGGATATGTATAGCTTATATGAATATAATACACCATTTTTACATAATGGACTTGAGCACTTATGGATTTTGGTTTCCATGGAGAATCTTGAAACCAATCCCTCTTGAATATAGAGGGATGACTGTATTATTTTCAACTATTTTTATTACAGTGTGACAAATTACCACAAAAGTAGTGGCTTAAAACTAGACACATGTGTATGTTTCTGTGGGTCAGGAGTCCAGGCACAGACTGACTGGGTCCTCTGACAAGGTCCTGCAGGTTGCATCCAGATGTCAGCTGGGTCACATTCTGTTCTGGACTTTGAAGTCTTCCTCCAAACTCCAGTGACTGTTGTCAGAATTTAGTTCTTTGCAGTTGCTGGAGTGTGTCCTGCTTTCTTACTGGTTATCCACCAGCTGCTGCTCTCAGACCTTCACAGACCACATGGTACCTTGCTATGTGACCCTCCCACAGGCTCTCCCCTAACACAACACTCTTCTGTAAGGCCAGCAAGAAAATCTCTCTCTTCAAGAAGGGCTTCTGTTTTTAAATGACTAATTAGGTCAAGCCAACCCCATATAATCTTCCTTTTGATTAACTCAAAATCAATTGATTTTAAACCTTAATTATAGCTTTGTAATGAAACCTTTGAAATACCTCACTTTTGCCATATAACATAAGCTAATCATAGTTACAACATCCCATCATATTCAGTGGTCCCACCAAAACTCAAGAAGAGATTATACAGAGGCCACAAATCTTGGAGACCATCTTAGGATTTTTACCTACCACAAGGATAGATATCTTTCAGATAATCTTGTTTTCTAGCATATAAATTACATTAAGATATATATGTATATATGCACATTATATATAAGTATGTATTATATTTGTTTAGTTTAAATATTATAGATCCTTAGATATGCATACATGCATAGTATACATATGTGTGTATACTTGTAGGTATACATTTGTAGATATATATACATGTTTTTTCCTTCTGTTTTTTTTTCTCCTCTACTTACCATTCTCTTCTTGCTCCTTCTTCTTTCCTTTTCCTCTTCTTATTTTATCTATTCTTTTCAATTAAATACCAAGTAGAGTTAATCTATATTACTTTCCAAAAACCAAGAGACTGCATTATGACTTTGAGAAATGAGGCTGCCGTTTTCAATATTATTCAAGCACCTACTAGAATACTATGGTAGGCCATGTGTTTGCATTCTATAACTGAGACAGAAGTTACTTTTACATTGGAGATCTCTTGAGAAAAAAATCCATGTATCCTCTTAAACATGCACACTTTTATAAAGAAAAATCTACCATCTGTAGCCAATTTCCTTAAGTAAATTAGGGATATTTTTAGAGGATTCACAATAAAGTGAAATTAAGCTTGATAGAGACAATTCCTTATTAGTTCAATAAAAATCTCTACTTTAAGAAACTGGATTAAAGTGACTTTGCTCAGTGCATTTGTCTAATGGTTTTTTTCAAGGTTGTGGAGCTTGAGAAGATAAAATGAGTAAGAAACTGCACTGTAGAGATTTTCCTATCTAATCAGAGATTTAAAGGCCATTTTGTTCATAAATATTCAAGAGTAGGAATTAAAAAGAAGATTTTGTATGGTGCATGCTTTGAGATGGTAAGAAAAGCAAATGCATGCATCAGAATTGGGGCCACTGATCAGTCTAAAAGGAGAAAGAACACTCAGAGAGCCTAACTCCAGGTCAAGGCCACTTCCATGATCAACCAGTTCTATCCTGTAAGACATGATCTTACTTTCTTTACATGTGGATGGCGGATAATACTAACTGCTCTGTACACTTTTCAGGGTCATTGTAAGTAACCAGTTTGACTTAATGAGAAGAGTATGGACATACATTTCAGAGAGAATTTGTTATAGTTTTGGTCTTAGTACTTTCTGGTTATATGGACTTCGACAAGTTATTTACCTAACCTTAACCTAAATTCCCTCCTACGGAAAATAATGCCTAATGTCAGGATTATTTTAAGGATTAAACAGTTTATAGAAACTAAATGTAAAGTTCAATTCCTAATAACATAAGATTAGAAAGATCTCCCAACTGGGAGCAAAGGATGCTGGGTTGAATTTATTCTGCATGTGTAAGAACAAAGTACAGAGA